CTTAAAAGACGATAGATCGAAAAAATTGATAGCCTTGTACTACAAATTAAGATTGAAATATGCAGACGCCATGGCAGATTTAGAGGAATAGGTAGATAATGATGATTAATGAAAATATTTTCTTATTTGATTTTATTTCGCTGCATAAATATGCAAGTTCGTAAATTTTTTCAATTCATTTTTTATACCACTCAATTAGTCCACGTTCTCATCTATTAATTAAATGAATTTATTAGCCCATTTAATAATTCGATATTTATTGGATAAATTAAAAGTGAGAAACGTGATTTACATAAATAACATATTTCATTTTTAATCAATTTCACAAAAGCACGTATTCGTACAATTTTTCGTTTTTATAATATGATAATATTAAGCAGGAAAAAAAATTATAAATTAACACATCGATAGTCAGATAAATTACAATAATATTATTTATATGTATCACCTAAAAACTCTACCTGAGTGCTAATATTTGATATTATTTAAAATGATAATTAGATAGTTAATCATAAACTTAAAAGTAACTTTATATAAACAAATGATCAAGTAGTAGATACAAAAATAGTTACGTAATACTTTCATCACATATGTTTTAATAACACACACACACACACACACACAATCTAAATAAAAATGGTCACGTATTTTTTTATAGTCTATTATAATAAAGAAATAATCTCACAGTAGCTGTGTACTAATGTGCTCTTTCATTTATTTTTAAACAAAAATATATTTTTTAAATTTATCATTATTGCTTGACTCACACTGGAAATTACAATCAAGATCTTTTAAGTGTGTAAATGCGGGGATCCTCTGACACTTGTCACAAAATTTGGCAAAAGTTTGGTGTGTTTTTTCTACATAACGCCAAAAAATATCAATCGATTGAATATTTTTTTCGAATAATTTAGTGAACACCCCTTTACTATCTTCAAAATCAGCTAGAGCCTTCATGTCGTCCTCTTCAAATTTGTCGATAAATAAATCATATATTTTAAGAATAAGTGAATTATCAATTAAATTAATGTTTTGCCCTTTACAAATTGGGTGTGAGTAGTACGCAACGGAAACTAAATCATAAAAAATAAATTTTGATTCTTCTTTAATAAATTTCAAGAAATCATTGTTTTCACATTTAATGATTAAGTTAATCCAATCATTGGCTGCATCAGCATGTTATAGTGTAATAACGATTTTTTTTCTAAAATTCTTAAAAGTAAACTTAAAATCTCTACCTTGCTCTTCAGTTCATTTTCAAAATCAGAATTAAATGCTACTTTAGTAATTCTTTGGTCAAAACAAGACTGATTTTCTGCTACTAATATTTTAATTGTTTTAAGATTCTTAAATAATGGTAAAAAAAACGTTTGACACGTTGTGTTCAAAATCTGAGCTGAAATCATACATTTTTTCACCTCCTCGGTTTAACAGATTTTTTTTATTTTCATCCTGACAAAATTCTCTTAAAATAGTTGTTACTTGACTGACAAAATCATGACTGAGAATATTGTCGGCTAGTGACTTTATTCTTACTGATAAACAAGAGAAGTACTAATATGAGGTATCCTTGCCTTCAAATATATGAGGTACAGTCTCCTTAATGTTAGATACAATAGAAAAAATTTTAGCTTTAAAATTTTCATGTACTACCTTAAGAGATTCAGAAATAAAATCTTTTTCATTTTCAGAATTTTTACAACAATGAATAAAAGCACTACTGTTAGTTTGATCTCTTACAACGCTAACAAAACAGCTAGATCGTTTTTGGTCACTTATTAATAAAACACAATTATTTTTACATTTGAGCTCGCGAACATCTAAACTTATGTATAAATCATTCAGGATTTTTTCAGATAATTCTGTTAAAGTAGGTGGTGTGTATGCCGGTCTGAGTTGTTTGAAAAAATCGACGAAATATTGTGATTCTGTACTAGTCAGTTCAATGTTATGACTTATTAAAAATTTCAACAAATTTCTGTTAATTTGCGAATAAGTGAGACTCTCAATAGTATCAACAAACGATGTGATGCTTTTGCTCTTTTTAATTTGTTTTTTTTTTGTTAGCAGAGGTGCACTCAGATGAAGGTTCTATTTCTTTTTCACTAGTTAAAGATGAATTATTGCTTATCTAAATCACAAAATAGCACACTATACGTTTCATCGACTTTAATGTAAATTAAAAATATTAAAAATAGCTTTCTACCTGAGGAACTTTCATCGAACTCATCCTTTTTGATGTAACGAGTAATTCGACATCATTTTTCTCAGACATGCCAATGCCAATGCCACTTCGACTTCTGTGTTGTCTGTCTAAATTTTTCATATCAGATTCATCTAACGACGAATCAGTTTCGTTTTTTAATGGGCAGTAGTTTCTGTGTATATTAAATATAATTTTAACTTACGTATGTACAAAACTCATGACAAGACTTACTTATGTGCCAATGTGTGTAAGAGTATGAAATATAGATAAAGTTAAGACAAATAATTAACACTACACTGATTGTGAGTTACCTAAATTAAATACTTATTTACATATAATTTCTGGAGTAAAAATAACTTTAAAAAAAACATAAATAACCTATGAGCCCTCAACCTTGATTCAGCCGTATTTTGCAGCGTTTTTTTACATGACGGGCAAAAAGCTGTCAGTTTTCCTTCGATGAAGACTTCCTCGAATTTTCCTTCTTTCCAATCGGCATTTTTCGGTCTTCCTGTGCGTTCCATTATTTATTGCTTTCTAAACAACTTTTGTTTTTATAACTTTTATAAGTGTGCAATGCTACGATCACTATTTTAAAAAAGAGAATGACAGAGTCAAGTTAGGAGTTCATCACAATTCCAACCAACAAAAAGAATTTCTCAAAATTTTTTGATATTTTTAGTAAATGTCTTGAAAATATCTCATACGCACCTTAAAACATCCTGAAGAATTTTTTTTTTCATAAAGATGTCTTAAAATAAACATTCGAAGCTTACAAGACATCTTACAAGAAACCCTGAAGAGCCTTAAGAAATTATATTGGATATGTCGTAAACTGTATGAAAGTCAAAAGTTTTCTACAGTATGAAACATACTTTCATACACGTATGAAACTAACCTTTCAGACATTGACTTTTCTACCTACCCACCCCTGCTGGGGATCATCGAAAGAAATACTTACTCAAGCGAGAAATCGGATGCCGCGATTAGACCTCAGACCCCTGTGATGCTCTCCGCTTGCATCGTAAAATTCGTAAAAACCTTTATCGGTTCAAATGGTTGTACTTATTTGTGGCAAGTCATTCGTCGGTATATTCTACTAAAGTACGCCACCTTATTCATGGGTAGATTCTATGCAAACCCTATCCTATACGTTACTTTATCGGATTAAAAATTAAAATGTTGGATAAACACGCACACACTTACGCTGCCCATAAAAGTTGTGTTGTAAGTATTGTACATCATTGTATTTTTGTTTTGTAGTGTCAGATCGAAAATGGAAAGGTTCTGTTGGTATTGTGTATTTTAGAAAAAAACCATGACTCTTTTCAACTGTGCAACCGTAAATAAGAAGAACAAAAAGATTCGAAAGTGTCAGAGGGTGACCATAAGAAAATCAACAAAGATGTGCCACAAAATCATTAGAAATCTTAGAAAGCAATCCATGGTTGATGTTTTTCGACCCTCATATGCATTGAAAGAGATGCGCTATTGTCTCATGACACATGATTGGCTTTGCTTACAGAGGCTATTTCCTTACTTATTTTTTTTACAACAAACATCAAACCCCTTATTATGGAGATATATTCTTACCATCATTTTACACAGTCCTTTCAGCGATTGGAGTCATCTCGCAAAATTTATGGATGAGTGCCTTGGCTGTCAAAATGAAAATCATATCAATCTAATACAATTATTAATAGCTTTGACAAGAGATTAAGTGAAAAAAACGCTGGGTCTATTTGTACCAAATCCACGTAAATATGTAAATATTACACATTACAGATAACACCTTGAGTGGTGTGTGGATAGTATCATTATTTACTTAGATATTATAAGCCCTACATCCAAGTTAACGTGGATACAGCTATGTTTATATCCACATATTTACGTGAATTTGGTGCGAATAGACACAGATAACAAAACAATCTAAGGATATGTTATTTGTTTAATTCTTACAGCTTTAAAGTAACACAAGCAATGTTACTAATTTATCATTATAAAGAATGACATTAAGTCAGATAGGGAACTGTAAATTGTAATCTTTTCTTCAATTTGTCGTAGTAAATCTTTTAACTCAGAATCATTACAGTTTTATCAGAGAAAACAATGACGGTTATTAACAAAGTTCGCATTTTTAAATACTGTAACTTAAAAAATATAATTATATCATAAGTTTATTAGTGTTGTAAATTATCATACATTTTGAGAATCCAGCATAAAAGAAGTCCAAATTAGTGATTCTCAACTTAAAAAATTACGAGATAATATGATATGCATGATTTCATTCAGGTAACAGATCTGCTCCAAGCTCTTCATTGTCGAACTCATCATCTCTTTTACCTGTAGCTGTCATAGGACGAATCGGAAGTGGACCAACAGGATCTGCATAATTTATTTCTGTAGGAAAAGTGTTGAAGCAAATTTTTTAAATGCTTAATTAATATATTGACATTAGTAATTATATTTACTTTGTGAGTTAAAATCTATAACAAATTCAGTTGAATCTGCTTTCACTATTTTATAATCAGTATGCATATCTCGACTGTGTAAGTTGTCTTCCTTCAGAGGACTTTCTTGTTGTTCCAAAAGACTTAAGCCTGATCCACTTCTGAATGAAGTTCTACTACTTTTTGAACCTAGACGTAAGAGTATTATTTTTTTTAGTATCAAGTTTACAAGCATGTTCTATAGAAAATCATACAAAAGTGGCTAACATAAAGTCTCTGTAACAGAAGTAAGTGGTTACAGCTCAACAAAAAGGAAAAAAAAAGAAAAATGTTTGTATTTAAATTTGTGAACCAGAACATAATAGTTTAAATAATATGAGACAGTCTCACTGGTTGTTCCTAGTCCTGCAGAGCCATGTCGCTCACGGTTTTCATGTGCCTTTTCAAGTTTTCGCAACTCAATGGTATAGCCTTGAGCCTCTTTGAGTCCCATATCGCAGCATAACTTGACTAAAAACTTTAAGCACTCAATATTGTCTGGAAAGTGCTGATGTATATCTTCATACTCAGTCAAAGCTTTATGAAACTGACCAATCCTCCTCAGGCACGCAGCCATGAGTAGCCGCCATCTCGGCTGATAGGGAGCTAATTCGACTGCTCCTTGAAAGTAGGTCAACGCTTTTTCGGCTACCTATTGATAAAAAATGTATCTTTCAAGTGAAGTTTGTGATGTGTGCCATTAAGTATACAAGGTTCATTTCAATTCTTACTTGCATTGACACAAAGTATGAGCCAAGCCAGTCGATCACCTCAAAAGTAGCTGGATAAAACCTGTAAGACTATGTACGCAAATATAAGTCAAGTAATAGTACATCAGAAACTCTACTAATCACTTAATATGTTCGTAACGTACTCATGAATCGTGTTTAAAAAATGGTAAAAAAACTATGCAATAAAATTCTCTGCTATAAAATTCAAACCACCATTCATGAAGAAAACAAACAAAATATAACTCTAGGATGACTTGTACACGCAACAATACTATATAATTTTTAAACCAATACCGGGTGTTTTCATAGTATATACACATAGTTAACATAACAGAAAAAAGTTCACATTTCTTACAGTGGTATTACGGACAGTTTGCTTGAGAAGTTGAGAATCATCCAAATATGCCACCGACCACCGACTCTTTCGCTCCGAGTATCACGGAATACTTCTGGAGCCGTACCTACCATATAACTCTTTCCGCTCCGCGGGCCTATATGTTTTAACATAGGCCCGCAAAGCGAAGAAAAGTTATATGGTACGGACCCTGGCAGAGATAAGTAGGGAGCTAGGGAGATTGCCAGTGCCGATGTTTCGGCGCTAATTTGAGCGCCAATCCATCGTGGCCAGCCAGCGTTGGGTTGGGCGGATTCAATATCGGAACTTTTTCCCTAGATCATATATATAGCTATACGATCTAGGGAGAATGTTCCGTCGAGCAGACAGCACAGAGTGAAGGGGCATTGCTAAAGACACGCAAAAATTAAAAATTGTAATATTAATAACACAAGTGCCTATCACTCAATGACCCGGGGTGCTTACTGGCCTCTCTATTAAATAATAAAGTATTAATTTTTAACACAAGCGCCTATCACACGATGACCCGGGGTGCTTACTGGCCACACTTTGAAATAATTTAATATTAATTATTAACAAAAACGCCTACTACCTAGCGTCCCGGGGCGCTTATAGGCCTCTCTATTAAGATAACGTATTAATAATTAACACAAACACCTATTACACAATAAACCGTGCGCCAACTAGCCTTTCTATCGAATAATGAAGTAATAATTATTAACACAAGCACCTATCAACCAATAACCCAGAGTATTAACTGGCCTATATATTAAATAATAAAATATGAATTATTAACACATGCGCCTATTACCTAATGACTCAGGGTGCTTACTTGCCTCTTTATTAAACAATAAGATCTAAACAATAATACAAGCGCCCATCCCTCAATGAACCGAGGCNTGTAATAGGCGCTTGTGCTACTAATTAATATTTTGTTATTTTACAGAGTGGCCAGTAAGCACCCTGGGTCATCGGGTGATAGGCGCTTGTGTTATCAATTAATAATATATATCGTTTAATAAAGCGACCAGTGAGCGCCCCAGGTCATCGATAGACGCTTGTGTTAATAAATTGTATTTAATCATATAAAAGTGTAGTCAGTTAGCGCCCCGGGTCATTGTGTAATAGGCGCTTGTGCTACTAATTAATATTTTGTTATTTTACAGAGTGGCCAGTAAGCACCCTGGGTCATCGGGTGATAGGCGCTTGTGTTATCAATTAATAATATATATCGTTTAATAAAGCGACCAGTGAGCGCCCCAGGTCATCGATAGACGCTTGTGTTAATAAATTGTATTTAATCATATAAAAGTGTAGTCAGTTAGCGCCCCGGGTCATTGTGTAATAGGCGCTTGTGCTACTAATTAATATTTTGTTATTTCACAGAGTGGCCAGTAAGCACCCTGGGTCATCGGGTGATAGGCGCTTGTGCTATCAATTAATACTTTATTATTTAATAAAGCGACCAGTGAGCGCCCCAGGTCATCGATAGGCGCTTGTGTTAATAAATTGTATTTTATCATATAAAAGTGTAGTCAGTTAGCGCCCCGGGTCATTGTGTAATAGGCGCTTGTGCTACTAATTAATATTTTATTATTTCACAGAGTGGCCAGTAAGCACCCTGGGTCATCGGGTGATAGATGCTTGTGCTATTAACTAATATTCTATTATTTCATAAAGTGACCAGTAAGATCCCCGGGACGTTGGGTGATAGGCGCTTGTGTAAATAATTAACACTTTATTATTCAATAGAGAGGCCAGTAAGCGCCCTGGGTCACTAGGTGATAGGCGTTTGTGTTAATAATTAATATTTTATTATTTAACAGAGTGGCCATTAAGCACCCTGGGTCGTTTGAGTTAATAATTAATAGTTTATAATTTAATAGAGTGGCCAGTAAGCCCCTGGGTCATCGGGTGATAGGCGATTGTATTAATAATTAATACTTTATTATTTAATAGAGAGGCCAGTTAGCGCCGTGGGTCATTGGGTGATAGGCACTTGTGTTATTAATATTACAATTTTTAATTTTTGCAGGTCTTTGGCAATGCCCCTTCACTTTGTGCTGTCTGCTCGACGGAATATTCTTCCTAGATTGTATAGCTACATATACGATCTAGGGAAAAAGTTCCGATATTGAATCCGCCTAACCCAATGCTGGCTAGCAGAGGAACCATGCAGTATGCACACGTTTTCTATTGGGCTCGGCTCGTGGGGAGAGGTAAGGAGAGATGAGTGAAGGAGACATGAGAATCTAAATGTGTGCATCGGTGATGGAGAGAGGAGAAGCTGAACCTATATGTATAAGCATACAACGGGCCATATATCTATAGCTATATTTGTACACTGCTCATACGGAAAAGAGCTGCGCGTAACACTTTTCTCGCTTTTCCTCTCTGAAAGAAAGATAAGCTTTTTAAAAACAAAAACATAATTGTCATGTTGTTAACAATTTTTTTTTTTTTCATTTTTAAAAAAACAAGAAGCTCAACGCAATTAACATATTATTTTGCTTTTTAATAAACGAGTGCCTTCATCCCAATAATGCAGTGCGCTCAATTTTTCTTCACTTTTATGATAAGTGAAATTATTGAATGATAAATAAAGGCATTCACCACAATGACACAGTACGCTCAAATATTTTTTGTACTTAGTAACATTATTTACTAATATACTGAAAAAATATAAATTACCAAATAAAGATATCAGCGCGATGGGGCGTTTGGGTAAAGGTGTTTAGTATATTAGTAAATAATATTACTTAGTACAAAAAATATTTGAGCGTACTGTGTCGTTGTGGTAAATGCCTTTATTTATTATTCAATAATTTCACTTATCATAAAAGTGAAGAACAATTGAACGCACTGGATTATTGGGATAAAGGAACTCGTTTATTAATAAAGCAAAACAATGTGTTAAATGCGTTGAGCTTCTCGTTTTTCTAAATATGAAAAAAAAATTGTTAACAACATGACAATTATGTTTTTGTTTTTATAGTTGAACGAATGATCAACTGCAATTAAAAAGCTTATCTTTCTTTCAGGGAGGAAAAGCGAGAAAAGTGTTATGCGCAGCTCTTTTCTATATGAGCAGTGTACAAATATTGCTATAGATATATAGCCCGTTGTATGCATATACATATAGGTTTAGCTTCTCTTCTCTCCATCACCGATGCACACATTTGGATTCTTATGTCTTCCTCACTCATCTCTCCTTACCTCTTCCCGCAAGCCGAGCCTACTAGCCGCCAGCTAACAGCCTGGTAGCACAGTCTTTGCAATTCTAACGTACTTCATGCACAAGATTTATATTGGCAGCGAAATTGTGTAAGTCTGCATCTAGTCTGCTTCCAAGATCTAACATAATTCTGATGCACGATAGGTGAGCAAGACTCTTGCGTAAGAAGTGCACAAATCTGACGATCAGTCGAGTGCGTTAAAAATCATGATTTGACGCACTTCTGATTGTGGCAGATTTGCGCAAGATTTGGGTGCAGGCGAGTGCGCAAGACTCTTGCGTAAGAAGTGCGCAAATCTGATGGTCAGTCAAGTGCGTTATCATTCTGACTTAGGCAGTTCCGCTTGCAGCAGATTTGCGTAAGATTAGCGTGCAGGCGAGTGCACAAAATCCTTGCGCAAGAAGTGCACAAATCTGACGATCTGTCGAGTGCGTTTTTTGTCTTTACTCGGCGCACTCCTGATTGCGGCAGGTTTGCTCCAAATTTTCGTGCAGGTGAGTACACAAGTAAGTAAGTAAGTAAGTAAGTAAGTAAGTAAGTAAGTAAGTAAGTAAGTAAGTAAGTAAGTAAGTAAGTAAGTAAGTAACGTTTATAAGACCATGTGGTTATAACCACGTTCGGTCTCAAATTTTAATTTTACAGAGTATAATATAAAATGCGCAAAAGTTACAAATTAGTTGACGAAAATAGATTTACATTTGAAATTACGAGAAAAATCCATGATTCAATAAAAATAATGTATAAAAAATAGAAATTGAATTAAAAATAAAGGTACAGAATTAAACACAAGTTATATAAAAACAAAAAAAAACAAAAAAACTAAAACCAAATTAAAAAAAGTGATGGTCAAGTCGCATGTATTAGTTTAAATTTATATGAAAAAGTTTAAATTTGTATGAATTAGTTTAAATTTATGTGAATCCAGTGTAGAGTTTATAGATGTAATGTGTGATTAGTGAATCAAGAAAAATAAAGGGCGTAAAAACAGTTACAGTAGCCTGGGGGATAACCTGCATTCAAAACTCTAGTCATTTTTATCAAGAATAAGGAGGATGTTGAATAATGACTGCTTGAAACTATGACTCAAGGCTTTTTAACCCAAGATCCTTGCGTAAGAAGTGCACAAATCATGGGTTTGTACTTGTTCCCTATGAGAAAATTTATAACAGTATTTTTCGACTTCCTATTCTTTTTCTGCACTTTGTAGCTTAACACTTATTTGCAATATTATTATAAAAAATAAAATCCACAGGTATAATTTTTATTGATAATAATTTTTCTTATATAAATCAGAAGAAATTGTTAGCGAAAAACATACTGTTAGTGTTTAGTGAAAAATGTACTGTTTGTATTGGTAAATTATTAAAAATCCTAAGCTCTCGTAACTGTCATTGTATACACGCATATCTCTTTCTCTATTTAATGATACAGTTTTATTGGCTGGTTATTTCAACCCCCCCTGACCTTTCCAACCACACTGCCAAGTAAGGAACAATTTGCTTGTTTTTTTCAATAAGTTGATAGGGTGTATTCGTTATGAGAAGCACTTATACCCCCACCCTAAATATTTATATTTGCACCTCACACTCCTGCCATGATACCCGCTAAATAGTTTATTTTGCAATAAATTTGAATCAATTTGTTAACTAGTGACTTCATTATAGTATATACTTTATATATGTTTACAATCTAATACATCTATTTTTTTCGTGCCACTTTATTATTTCAATCCTTTTGATCCAAAGTTTATCAAAGAAAAGTGTAAATACGTTTGTTTTGTTATCTATAGTTGTTTTTCTGACATATTAACAAATCTTGAAGTTAAAGTATTGTGTACATTCGAAGTAAAAAAAAACCTTTTAAAAGGATTTAAAATATAAAATGGTGTTGATTCTATACGCAATAAATA